GGGTGGAATTAAAAGTTCGCTCAAGTTGGTAGTCAGAATTCGAACAATTTAACCGATTAGGTTCTCTCACCTGAGTTAAAATGGGTACATCTCTGATGAGCTTGTCGCCAGACGAATGAAACGGTCATCCGGCGTTTAGATTACTTTGATATGGATGACTAGCAAGCACTACTACTGCTGCTTGATGTGAGTAGTATTCAATTAATCATGACTCCACACAGCATTTTTTTGATACAAGTATGAAATTTTCAGATGTGATATCGGTAGCCAAATTTAGCAGGCCCATTATATCAGTGTGCATCGGCCGGGGATTGAACCTCGGAGCATGTGCTTAGTCAGTGAGCGTCCTAACCTCTGTGCCACCGACGCACATTTGTATCGAAGACCTAACAGCCGTTTGAAAGGTAGTTAAATCAACCATTCACAACATCAAAATTGTGCTTAAATGGATAGTGAATTCCAACAACTACCGTTGTTTTTGTTCTTGATGTTATATATTTAAACAACATTTTTTTAAACAAACATAAAAATTAAGATAAACAGAGTGGAATTAATGTATCGGAATGTTATTTTAACGCTAAACAAATTCAAACGAAAACAATAATAACAATAATAGTGGTAGTAATAATATCATGCTAGCCACCAATCACATCAATTCACCGAAGTTTATCTATTCTTTATAATTTGAGCGCCGAGTCAGATTGATTCATTATAAATTGTTTAAATTAATCCCAGCGTGTTAAGAAAATCAAAACAAGATTTTTCTGAACGTTTCGCTGTGTAAGCCACAGCTTCTTCAGCAGATTTATATATATCTGCTGAAGAAGCTGTGGCTTACACAGCGAAACGTCAGAAAAATCTTGTTTTGATTTTCTTAACACGCTGGGATTAATTTAAACAATTTATAATGAAGTTTATCTATGTTTGTTTATTCACATATTTACTAAGCGAATAATTTCTCTACTAACCAGTGTGAAACTGCAACGCTATACGTCATCATCAATCTGAATAGAGAATAGAATGGCAGTCAGCTCTCTACTTGAACTTCATCATTCAAAACTATGAAGTGCGCAATGCCGCAAACCTTTAAAAACTTCACTCAACAGTTAGTTATAAGATGATGATACCACATGTCAAGTGATTCACAACGAGAAGAAGCTCAGTGAAGTCTTTGAACTGAAGAGAGAAGTAGACTGGGTGATGTGACTGACCGTGGGGGGAACGATAGGACAGGCATTCGCTAGACTGACAGGAAGACCCTAGAAAACTTGAACTTCGAGGACAGAAGAGGCTGGTAGTGAAGACAGTGGTGATGAAAATACCCAACAACCAATAACAAGCACTAATCATCGTCGACAAGAGAAGTCCAAAGAAAGAAGGTCAGCTCTTCCACCTGTCCAGATATCATCGTTTTAATCATGAGCATTACAGATGAGAATATCGAAGTCAAGATCGGTAAAGTAAGACAGACATTTATCGCTCTAAAGTCAGTGTAGAAATCTACTGCAGCATTCAACACAAAAAACAAGATACGTATCACGAAAAGCATTTCGATCAGGTTCAGAATGGATAAGCAACAAGGAATTCTGCAGTGCAACGAACCAACCAAGAACCAATTGCTCAATACATATGCAGGAAGAATTAGAGGTAGGTTGAAAATACGCTGAGGACACTGTTGATTGACATCACACGCTAGGCAAGCCCTCGAGTGGAACCTGAATTAGGAAACAACGAGTCAGGTGTCCTAGTGTAATACAGAGGGGATCATGCGAAGAGGAGATGTAAGCTTGCTTATAAGTATTCAAAAAGACTTCAGAGTGCAGGGTGAAATGAAGATATACCGCTGAGGCCCCATCTTCTATTCGGAATTCAGGGGAATAATTATTATTATTATTATCAAATATATTTGAGACAGGATTTATTAAAGTGAAACAAGCTCTGCATTTTTGAAGGTGACGGTGAAAACTCCTAGGTGGTATTCTCTTAGTTGACTAGTTTCACGGGGGAAGTGTTCATCACTCCTTCTTGACAAAACCTTCCACTCTTGGAAAATACAACACTATTGTCTTTTCACATTTGTGCACTAAATAAACACGACAGAATGCATGACTATATCAGAGTTTGCTAGGATAACTGGTTGAGACAGTAAGTAAGTACTTGTGCACTGAATTAATGGTAAAATAACATTTAACCGTATCATTTCAGCACAGAAATGACTATGACTGGTCAGAGCATTAGCAGTGTGACTCCGCACAATTAACTTTATGGATAAATAATACTTATGTCCCTTAAGTAGATTTTCACTTACTAAAATCCTTCTCATTTATTGGAAAATTTGCAGCTAGCTTCTCTTTCCAATCAACTTTTTTGTGTATGAAATGACCGTTTACTGAACCAAACCCAGTGAATTCACATAGATAAAAAGAGGGGAACTCGAGATACCATCATGAAGATATTACTCAATAATTTCTTTCTGCTTGTACCAGGAACTAGATACTGATTCATCAATCATTACTGGTGTTCGCGTTCACGGTTAAATATCACATAACGTCATGTTAACAGCCACCCAGAAGCCATTTTACCTCGTTAGACTACTGACTTTATGTGTTAATGTGCTGGAGGGTACATACAGAATTCTTCTAACTACTTTGACTAACCTCAGTACTGACAAGACTACAATCATTATGTGAACTAACTAATCTGAATGACTCGACAACTGGCTGGAGGAGGGTGAAACCTAGCTAGAGAAAACCTTGAAGTTGGGTTCCGTAGATTTTGGTCTTCATATGCCCCTAGAAGAAACTGTTAGTCCCAAAAGACACTGGCAGCCACCCATGAATTCCTTGATTTCGGTATACTGACTACTACCTGTTATAGTTCATTGGATTCTATATGGTGAAAAGGTCACTGGAAACCACTACTGCTTAGTCTGATTGCACCAGTCATTATAATATGCCAATGTATTGGACTTATTAATGATATTCAGCCGAAATAAACGATCTTGTACAGCTGAGGATAGGTGGATTTCAGTTTAAGTAAGTCCTACTGACTGCCTTTACAAGACGAGGGTGTTCCTCAAAAAATTGAAGTGGCAAATATGAACGTCTGGCGCTTACAACTGGACTGGACACGTAGGTCCACCTAGAGGAGCTGGAAAACCGTGAGTCCGAACCAGCAGTGTAAGTGGGTTCCATAACTTGAAAGGATCAAATAGGCGTATGAACCTGTTTTGGACATTAGCAACTATGGGAACGCAACTACTAACGTTACTCCACTGCCCTGTGAACTAGAATTCAAGTGAAAGTCTCAGCTGATGGGGGGGGCAGTGATTCTCTTAACACAACCACCTAAATCGGTCAAGCCGTCTGGGCAGTATCCTAGACCTCGCACGAGCTATGAAAATTTGTGTGGCACATCTCTTGGTGTCCATAATGTACCGGATTTGTGTTTTAATTTTTTTTTAAACAATACAAAACTCATCACATTAAATTATTAGCTTACTATATTTCCGACAAAATACTTCAACGGGATAATTGAGACTAAGTTAAAGTCAATAGTATCCACAAATTAAAAATCACGAGACCATCCTATTTTCAGTTTGCTGGACGTACATGGTGTTTCACCTACACTTTATTGGACAGTACTCTTATCAGAGGACAATAAGCGGATCGCATACATCCTTAAAGACAACAAATGTGCTTACAGTTTACAATGGCGGTGAGACACAAACAACATCCTCACTTGAAAACAAATTTCAAATTTAACACCATCTGACATTGAGGTGGTTACAATTTTCATATGAAATCTTACAAATGGAACCAATCCAAATCCCTACAAAAATAACCCATGCATGCATGTTCTGAAGTTATAGTGATAAGTCATGACCACTGGGATCCAGGACAGGACTCCAGGTGAACATAGACAAGACGGAGGTCATGAAAATAACCAACCAACAACAACAACAACAACATCCAGCGCCAATCACCATCAACGAGAGGGATTTGAAAGAGGTTACTTCATTCACTTATCTAGGGAGCATTGTCTCAACTACAGGAGGAACGGACGACGATGTCAAATCGAGAATCGGGAAGGCGAGAAACACATTCATCAACCTGAAACCAATCTGGAAATCTTCGTCACTTCACTCAGCATCAACAACAAAATTCGGATTTTCAATACAAACGTCAAGTCAGTCAGTTCTTCTATACGGATGCAGAAACTTGGCCAGTGTGTCACAAAGAATATTTCCAACAGCCTGTTGCAGACCTTTATCAACAACTGTCTTCGCTGGCTCTATACTGAAGATCAGATGGCCGCCGGAAATAATCACCAACAAGAAACTATGAGAACAAACAAACCAAGAACCAATCGCCCAACAAATATGCAGGAGAGAGTGGAGATGGATTGGACACTCGCTGAGGAGGAGGCCGCTGGGTGACATCGCGCGTCAGGCCAGTGCTCGAGTGGAACCCGAAAGGGAAGCGGCGAGTGGGACGTTGAAGGGTGACATGGAGGAGATCGTGTGAAGAGGAGTTGAAACAGTATGGACTAACATGGATGCAAGTGAAAAGTACAGCAGAAGACAGAAAAAACGTGCAGTTGAAGCCCTATGTTCCACTAGGAACCCAAGGGAACAATAATAATAATAAAACTGGGATCCACTATGTCAAGGTAAAATGGATGCTGATTGGAAGGCATTGGTTGAAGGTAGTGCTTACATTACAAATTGACAGAAGTTAGATAGAATCCACGGATCACTGACTTCCTGCCCAACTGGCAGAATGATCAACAACTTTAGTCTCGTAACCTAAAGGTCCTGGGGGGGGGGGGTTCGATCACTAGCGGTTGGATCGTGGGTGTGCACTGTTGAAGAGTCCCGAACAGATGTCCAGCACCCCTCTTAATCCCTGTCTGATTTTAATTCATGAAAAAAAATGCACAATGAAATTTAATAAAATCAAATAATAATAATAATTACTTTTCGTTTTTTTTTAACTTACAGAATAAACAAAATCCAATTCTTGTTTAGTAATTTGTTTTCCATCAGCCAGTGTTATTTTACGATCATGTGTTGATATCAAACGTGAAGCTTGTACAAGCCATACTTCGAAAAATGCTGCTTTAATTAACACCAATTGATCTGGTTGCCCGAGTGAACTAAACTCAGGAATACGTTTGGCTAGTTCAACAACCTGTTGTATACAAGGTGCCAACAGTTGGCTAAGTTCTTCATGCATACGTAAACGATGTTCATCGACTTTTTCAGGCCAAAATTCACGTGTAACATTGGACTGGAATCGATGGACGATGATCGACGGTGAACGGCAAGAGAAAGAAAAAAGGAATGAAGAAGACAAAACAGCAATAAGAATCAATAATGCATTCGTTGTTGTATATACACATGCATATACATATACATATATATGTGCATACGTTAAATTATAATTAATACTGCAAATATCTAAAATGGCATGCTTATTGACTATTGTTATTATTATTATTACTTATTGATAATTAGTTAATAAGCTATTAGAGATTTCTCTCGAAATCAATAAGTGTTCAATAATCATTAACTGAATAATTCTATTTATTATGCATTATCTCTTTTAAAAATAACTAAACATATATATGCGTATGTATGCATACATAATGAAATATGATCATAATGATATGAGTTCAGGCTATGTGCGTCTTTTACTATTTCTAAGACCGAAATAGTGAATCGGCAGTCTGCCTGTAGAATACCAATCACAACCACGCACATGTGGTCCTTGAATTCGGTCCCCAGCCATTATTACTATTCCCTTGGGCTTCAACTACACGTCTCCACTTGCTTCTGTCTTCTGCTGTACTTTTCACCTGCATCCATGTTATTCCATACTGTTTCAACTCCTCTTCACACGATCTCCTCCATGTCACCCTTGCACTGACGTCCCACTCGCCGCTTCCCTTTCGGGTTCCACTCGAGCACTGGCCTGACGCGCGATGTCACCCAGCGGCCTCCTCCTCAGCGAGTGTCCAATCCATCTCCACTTTTCACTGCATATTTGTTGGGCGATTGGTTCTTGTTTTGTTTGTTCCCATAGTCTCTTGTTGGTGATTCTTTCCGGCCATCTGATCTTCAGTATAGAGCCAGCGAAGACAGTTGTTGATAAAGGTCTGCAACAGGCTGTTAGAAATATTCTTTGTGACACACTGGCCAAGTTTCTGATCCATCCGTATAGAAGAACTGACTGACTTGACGTTTGTATTGAAAATCCGAATTTTGTTGTTGATGCTGAGTGAAGTGACGAAGATTTTCAGATTGGTTTCAGGTTGATGAATGTGTTTCTCGCCTTCCCGATTCTCGATTTGACATCCTCGTCCGTTCCACCTGCCTGTAGTTGAGACAATGCTCCCTAGATAAGTGAATGAAGTAACCTCTTTCAAATCCTTCCCGTTGATGGTGATTGGCGCTGGATGTTGCTGTTGTTGTTGTTGTTGTTGGTTGGTTATTTTCATAACCTCCGTCTTGTCCCCAGCCATTGATACACTCTTAAACCTCGCTTTACCGGTAGAAGTAAGCCCTGCTTCAGTAAAGAGGGGAGGTTGTCAGTGAAACTTTAGAACCTCAAACTTGAAGCTCTATGTTCCATTTGGAATGAAAAGGAATAAAATGAAATAAGACTGAAAGGGGAGACTACAATGACATTCGAAGGAAGATAGATCTTTCTTTTTTTTGTTGCTGCAGGTAGATGTCGTTGAGGAAGGTTACTAAGCCCGAAATCTACATCAGGCAAGCTTTTGTGTCAGTAAACTTCAAACATTTTTTTGCTTCATTCCTTTACGTTCTAGCTGGAATACAGGACTTCATACTTTGAAGTTTTAGTAGCGTTAGTGTTGTTTGAGTTTTATCAGGTTGAGTTGCTAGCTTCACTTTCCCAACATTCTCTCTATTTTGGGCTTTTTCTACCGGCTAGTAAGCCGGTCGAATAAGGAGTACGTTGGTCAGGAACCGACTGAGACTTCCTGTTTGTATGGTTGGTCAGCATTCTAATACTGAATCACCAACACACAAACATTTTACTTTACTGAAGTTGGCACAGCATTAAGCTTAACGTATGACAGACACTGGTTACCATCAGTGCTTTACACAACTACGCGACCTACACTTCCTCATGTTTTAGTGATCTTCATGGATTGATGGTATGTTTTCGTCTAACTTAACCCCAACTTTTTAACAGGCTAATTCTACTTCAACCAACTTTGTTCTTCAGGGTAATCTTGAGTAGGTCATGCATAAAAAAATATTGCATACAACACAGCTAGTGAAGTTTTCCAGCCTCATCGATTGACGTGGTTCCTTCTCCGAACACACCATGTCGAATAAAAACATTTCTTATCTACAATCAAAAATCTGAAATCTTTTCACATTTTCTGAAACCAGTAAGAAATAGCTTTTTACTGCCTGGTTACGGTCCTCAGGATGCAAAGAACTAATGGCTTGAGATTGTCAGTGATATGACTCAAAACCATTCTCACTCTCTGTAACAACCCAGATCCAACAAATCCCCATGTTACTATTCTTTCTCTTGTAAATTTCTCCTCACTATAATTCTTTCGAATTTCATTTCTCTCTTCTTTTCTGTGTCTTTGTGTGCTTCACAAGAGCATGATAACCTGAAGTGCTTCACTTCTGTGCAAAGTTCCACGTTGAAACTCAGACAGTCAGTAACTCAGTTAGCTTCCTTAGTGATATAATCAACCTTGTTCCTAAATTAAACTAATAACACGAATCAGGAGTAAAGAACCAAAATGGGGTTACACGAGGAAGAGATTAAGGTAATGCAGAACTATCAAGAAATAATAGAGGCGATACTAAACCAAATCAGAGAACATATTAATTCAGAACTATCATGTTCAATGGCCACGTTACTCAAACCTGCCTGCTTATCTCTTATACACGAACCTCCCACTCCTGTTTCTTGACATCCAGAGAGTTAATACAACATGTAATCAACAAACAACATCTTTATCTGTTATTTGGTGGATGGTAACTAACAGTGGAATCTAAGAGACATATTTCATAGATATATGGATGTACCTGCTATCCCCAGTGAGTGAGTGAGTTGGTGATGGTAACCCCACCACCCTAACCAGCACCCACCGCTTCAGATAAAACTGACTTAAACAAAGAACACTGTTAGCTACTCATTAATATGATTTACATGTCTAGTGAATTTCAGTGACTGAACAAGTTGATTTGACTCATCAATAAAATGGAAGGGAGAATAAAAGTAGTGATATATATATGATATCTATCTCTTCTGTCACCTAACAAGCCTCCATGAAAAAAAGGACAGTATGCTAACTTCTCTGTATGTTTTGTAACACGTTTGTTTGTTAACTCCAACAGTCATGATGTTATCACAGTGTACATATATATATATAATAATATATTCTCCTGATGAAAGGACTCAGAATCAACTTTGAGCACTTCATGCTTATAGCTTGTGAGTGTGTTTGTGTGTGTGTGCGTGCGTGCATGCGTGCGTGGGTGGGTGTTTGTAGATGTCATTGTAAACTACTGCTAGCATAACAATTCAACATATGTTACACGTTGGACACACTCTGGACACTTGTCATTATGCACAAATATATAAAAATATAAATAGACAGAAATTAGAATGTAACATTATTTCCTTTCCTGATAAATCAAATTTTCTGTTCACATATATATTAGCTTAAACAATTGACTATAAGCAGTAGTAGAATGAAATAAATAAATTATAACACACGCAAAGGTAATAATAATAAGCAAAGTGTATTGTTCCTCCGTATATCTAATATATATACTCCACCCATCATCATAACGATGATGACAATTTCCATATTTAAATGAAGACTGGACGTCAACATAGCTAAGTGTCGACTAATGACTGCCTGCCGGATTGTCAAGGTTGGTGTGTGTCTATTGTGTGTTAACTCTATTGTATCCTACACGCTTTAATGTGCTGCGCGCAGATGTAGGCAGAAAAAGATTCAGAGAGATAGACGGGTGACAGAAGCAGAGTGACACAGCAAAAAAAACGGAATAGAATAAAGAAAGAAGATACAGGGAGGGGAGCTAAAAGCAGGATGAAGGTAGCTGTAGGAGTAGGAAACACGAAATCGGCTGTAAATACTCAGGAACAACTGGCTTACTGAACACTAGTAGTGTTAGGGGAAAAAAACACGAATTTTGCGCTGGTTTATTTATATATATATACAAATTAGTTAGTAGAGAAAATAAAAAATTAGCACCACCCCTTCATGGTTATATGAATATTTAATGGGTAACATAGAATGTGAAAAAAAGAATTAAACGATCTTTATGTTAATAACTGAGTCTACACTTTCTGCTTCGAAGCATTTTAAAAAAACCCAGTCTCTGGTGCAGTGAGTGATAAAAAGTTCAGTATCGTTCACTGACGCATATCTTAACAACAGTTAAAGATATCGTCTGAAGTAAGCACGACATTTATTATGCTTCACAAGCAGTGATGACAGCTGTGAATGACAGTCAGGTTGTGAAAGAGTCCGATGAGAAATGGTTAGATAAATCAAAACACCACACTAGTGTGTACAATCCAGAATTCTTTTTTCCTTCACGTTCCCCAGTGGAACATAGGGCTTCAAGCTAGTGGCTTGAAGTTTCTGTAGCAGTGTTTATTTTACAGGATGGGGTTGCTAGCCTCATGCCCAACCTTTCCTCTTCACCAGCATTATTTCTGGCTTAGCGAGGTAAAGGAGTGCGTCTGTGGCCGGGGATCGAATCCCGGACCACATGCGTGGTTGGCAAGCATTCTACCGCTGTGCCACGGACGCCACACAATTCACTGAAAAATGTCGGGAGATGTTTATGTTTCTGTAATCAGAAATGTTTAGCGTTCCTTGTTGCTGTTATATCCCTTAAGCTGATCAACATAGAAGAAACTCTCTTTTCTAACACATCTCTTTTCAGAAAAAAATAAAAACAACTAAACAATCATATAATGCTAATAATGAAAAAACATAAAAAAAAAAAAACAATGTTGATACACAATAGGAATGCAATGCATCCATCTCATTCTGGCAACCCAAAATGCAACTAAGGTTAAAAGAGACATAATAAATCCAAATAAGTGAACATAACTGTTAGTCTGTCTTCGGATGCTTCAAATGTATTAACAAGTATGCATCTTAACAGGCTAATAGTGTCATTTAGCGTTAATTGACATGCATATTTGCAGAGTTTTCAGCTCACTTGTTAGTGGCCGAAATTGGATAACAT